AACCGAAATGAGTTGCTGGCTGTTAGGGCCCAATATTTAATCAATTTCTACAGTGTAATCTAGTACAGTAGAGCAAGCATGCTGGTGGGTGGTGGGTACTGTAGGTGTTGGACTTTTTGCTTGTTCGGCTTACGCCTCAGCCGGGGCGGTCGCGGTTCGAGATGGTTCTTTTCTTCAGCTCACCAAGTTTCTTGACCGTCTTGACCAAGTCTTGGAGACACGGCTCGGCGCTGTTTGACGTGCGGGTTTCTGGGGGTTGATGAGATGTGACAGAGTGCGGTTGATGGTACCCTGACAGGGTGAGAGAGAGCTTGGGTCTGCTTCAGCTGTCTCGGCCCCACATGTCATTCGTGGTTTGTGGCATAGTTAAACAACGAGTCAGTTCAAGACGCGAATCCGCAAGACGCGAAAATAGAGAGGTACTGTAGGTATCATAACTAGTAGAGAGCGTCCACCGTCATCATATTTGCCCGTCGAAAACATCATGTGTTCCTAAACTAGAGCGTCCACCATCATCAAATTGTGTTGTTAAACATCAATATGTTCAATTTCACCAGCCCTCCCATCCTTCCTCCCAATGAAATGCCCATTACATATCACCCATCCCGCGCTCAAGCATCCTTAGCCCCCTCCTTCTTCTCCTCTTTCCCAGCCTCAGCAGTCTCCGTCTTTGCTGGCTCACTCCCTTCCGCAGCCTTCTTCACCTCATCCTTCCCCTCCTTCCCCCCAGCCTTAACCTCCTTCTCATCCTCACTATCCCCCAAACTAAACGGATCATTGTCCCCCTCCCCCACCGGATTCGGATCCACAGAGCTCAGCGGCTGCCACTTACTCTGCTTCCCCGACGCCGGCGTCGTCGCCGCATCCTTCGCCGCGCGCGACGGCGGGCCTCCATACACATCGATCTCCTCCGGCGGCCCGTCCTGGAACGACACCTTGCGACTCCCATCATTCGACCGCGGCGTCGCGGGCGTCGGCTTGAAGAGGTCGGGGTTGGCTAGGGGGCGGGTGGAGCGGCGCGCGTTGCCTGGGCTCGGGTTAGGAAGGGAGGTCGAGCGAGGTGTCACAATGTGGTGGAGCTCACTAGTATCATCGTTCAACTGTATGCCTGTGAAATCATCGCTGAGGACCTGGGGATCCGCATCGTAGCGGCCGGAGTCCCCGCTGCGCCTCCCTGTATCGCTGCGGCGAGAATTGTACTGCTGGTTCTGGAAGCCCTGGTTGTAGCCCTGTTCCTGGCGCTGCTGCTCTGCGTGGATGTCGCTGAGGTCGTCTCCGTCGATGCGCTTCTTGAGGTTGGTGAACCATCCGTTCACTTTGCTCTGTGTCTCGATGAAGCCCTTGCGGAGGTTCTCTTTGATCACTGGGAGGTCGTCGTCGATGAAGCTGTACTCGTCCTCCTCGTGATACGAACCCGAGCGCTGGTTCGGTCCGCGTTGGGGGCCTCCCCTGTTGCGGTTGCGGTCCTGGGATGATGAATCGAAGTGCTCAGCCAGTTGCCGTGCGTAGAGCTCATCCGCCTCCAACTGCGTCAACTCAGGTCCAGCGCGAGCTGGCCTGGGTGGCTGAGGAGGCGCTTGCTCAGCAATGGCAGCCGCCTCAGCAGCTGCCTCTGGGTCGGTCATGCCAAGGAGGGCGTTGAACGCAGGTTCGATCTTGCCGCCACTAGCAATCAAGACAGCCTTGATAACCGCCGCCTCGACTCCAGGGAACGCCTCCTTCAGGGTATTCTCCGCCTGTTGTTGCGCGCTGAGTGGTCGTGGGGGCTTCGCGGGTGCCTGTTCGGTTTCTGTGCCTCCGGCTTGCTGGCCTGCTGGAGCTGTGGTCTGCTCACCGCTCGCCACGGGCGTTTCTTGAACATCGTCGTCGTCCATTTCCAGTGGTCGTGCGGTTGTTGGGGATTCGGCGCCGGAGCTGGTCTTCGTCTGTGTGATTATGTGAGTGAGCTAGCTGTGGTTTGGAGGATGACGTTGCATGGATGGTGGAGGCAATCCTACCGGTGGTGGGGATTCGGTTCTCTTGGGAGAGGACATGATTGTCGGAGGGGGGTTGGGGGAAAGATGGCAAAGATGATTTTATATCAAGCTTGGTGCCCAGGTACGCGTACGTATAATTGCGAAGGATCTAGAGTCGTCGTAAGTTGCTATAAAAAGACGATCTGCTTGCGCCTCACGACTTCAACGTCTTGAAATCATGTACCGCTTCGGGTGACGACGCCCTAGCCACCGAGGGGCTAATCAACGCCACATGCGACGCTTGGCACAAGGCTGATACTGTAGCCGTAAATTTAAGGCATGAAGTTTATGCGCCACTGAATTGCCCTTCAGCCTTCTCTCTCTTCCCAACCCATGTGAGAGATAGAACCATTCCGAAAGTCGCGGCGGAAGAAGTATGATTGAGAAAACAGGGTTCATTACATGATAGGTCAGAGACAAAAAGGGTTATTCTAGCCATGGCGGATTTCGATCTTGCTACGAGCTTCATTCCCTCGTTATATAAACCCGCGTCACTGCTTCCCATAGCAAAACATCGTGAGAGCCTTCTCTATACCATTGAAACCCATGCGGTTACTATAGTGGTGGGTCAGACCGGGTGCGGTAAAAGCACCCAGCTTCCCCAGTTTCTAGAAAAGGCTGGATGGTGCTCTGAAGGCAAAGCCATCGCCATTACTCAGGTGAGTTTTCTCTCCCTCAAGCTGAGACATTGGAGCTAACTTCAAGATAGCCTAGAAGAGTAGCTGCTACGACAGTTGCCACAAGAGTCGCTGAGGAGTTCGGATGTACCCTCGGACAAGAGGTTGGCTATTCGATCCGTTTCGAAGATGTGACTTCAGCAGCCACGAAGATCAAGTTCCTAACCGATGGGCTTCTTCTACGAGAAGCATTGGTGGACCCGTTATTATCTCGATATTCCGTTATCATGGTCGATGAAGCTCATGAAAGGTCCCTCAGCACAGATATTTTATTAGGAGTTCTACGGAAAATCCACAAGAGGAGGCCGGAGTTGAGGATCATCGTGAGCAGCGCTACACTTCAAGCAGAAGAGTTCCTCACATTCTTTACTGCCGACGACACTACCATGAATGATTCAAAGGCGATAGAAGGCGTCAAAGATGTGGGCGCGATTGTCAGTCTAGAAGGCAGGATGTATCCGGTGGACATTCTCTACACCGAGTCGCCCGCAGACGACTATCTAGAAATGGCAATCCAAACAGTCTTCGACATTCACACGAAAGAGCCAGAAGGAGACATCTTAGTCTTCCTAACAGGCCGCGAAGAGATTGATAAAGCTGTACAAGCAATCTCAGAACGATCAGCACAACTTCACCCCCGCGCAGAGACAATGATGCCCCTTCCCCTATACGCTGGTCTCTCCACAGACCAGCAGATGTACGTCTTCGAGCCAGCACCCGAAGACACACGCAAAGTCATCTTCTCCACAAACATAGCCGAAGCATCCGTAACAATCGACGGCATCATCTACGTAGTCGACAGCGGCTTCGTCAAACTCCGCGCCTTCAACCCCACGACCAGCATCGAAACCCTCACCGCAACGCCCATATCAAAGGCCTCGGCAACCCAGCGAGCCGGGCGAGCAGGCCGCACAAAGCCAGGGAAATGTTTCCGCCTCTACACCGAATCAGACTATGCCTCCCTCCCCCAATCGAGCATCCCCGAGATCCAACGATCCAATCTCGCCCCTGTCATCCTCCAGCTCAAAGCCCTCGGCATCGACAACATCGCGCGCTTCGGCTTCTTCACCTCCCCGCCAGCCGAACTCGTCATCCGCGCCCTCGAACTCCTCTACTCCCTCGGCGCACTCGACACGTACGCCAAACTCACCCGGCCCCTAGGCGTGCGCATGGCGGAGCTCGCTATAGAACCTATGCTCTCCAAAGCCCTTCTCAGCGCATCATCATTCAACGTACTGAGCGAAATGCTCACTATAGCCGCTATGACGAGTCTCGGCGGCAGCGTATGGATCGAACACTCCGACGAGCGGAAGCGTCTCGAGATGACGCGACGGAAATTCGCAGCTGAAGAAGGCGACCACCTCACGCTGCTTAATGTGTATCAGGCGTTCATCACGACCGGGAAGAAGGATGTCAAGTTCTGCCGCGACAATTCGCTGAATTTCAAGAGCATGACGAGAGCCGTGAGCGTGCGGGGACAGCTGAAACGGATGCTCGAGCGCTTTGGACTCGTTGTTGATGAGACGTTGAGTAAGAATGCGAATAAACAGGCGTTAGGTGCAGCAGGTGGAATGGATAGGGGAGAAGCGATACGGCGCTGTTTGACGACGGGATTCTTTGCGCATGCGGCGAAGATGCAGCCGGATGGGACGTTTAGGAATGTAGCGGGCGGGACGGTGTTGCATGCGCATCCGAGCTCGTTGATGTTTAATCGGAAGGCGGGGTGGGTTGTTTTTCAGGAAGTTATGGAGGTGGGTGAGAAGATCTATGTTAAGGAGGTTACGAAGATTGAGAAGGATTGGTTGGTGGAGTATGCGCCGGAGTTTTATAAGGCGAAGTAGTGGTGGAGGTGATGATGGTGGAACGAGGGTTGGAGAGCATTCCGTAGGGAGTTCGGACAAGGATATAGATGTCGTATAATATTGATATGAGCTTTGTATAAGCCCCTCTATATAAACCGAGTATGCTGGATCTCATCGTCAATTGAATTTAAATCGTGGTGAAGCAATTTGTATTTGTTACTATATCATTTTATATTGGCACACGAAAATAAATATATTAAAACAAAACATCAATCAAATCAAATAAATACCAACTTAATCAACCACCAAGCAATACATTAATCCAAGCTCACAAACAATTCCTTCAACTGTAACACGAATATATCACCACTCCATCCCTACCTCCCCCCAACCTGACTCACCACCAACCCAGTCGACGTCACCCCCACTAGTCGGAAAGGCGGTTATGTCGAAGCGAGCCCTCTACATAATCCACAATACGCAACAGACCTCCAACAAACACCCAAGCGGCTTTAGCTCACTTGGGAGAGCGCCAGACTGAAGACAACTTCGGTTCGATATCTGGAGGCACTGTGTTCGATCCACAGAAGCCGCATTCATCTGCGAATCGGGGATTACCTCGATTAACGAACACTTATTTTTTTGCCAATTTTTTCTACGCGCGGTGTACGCGCACATGGGTGGGTGGGTATTTGGGAAGACGAGACATTGGTTTGAGGCAACGAGCATGGTTGTTATTTTTGGACTGGGGATGTGTGCGTCACGGTGGCTTGTTTTTGGAGATATCGACAGTTTTCTCTTATGTTCGTATTATTTCATATTTTGGTTGGTATATATATGCATCTCTAAAAAAACAAATCCGAACACCACGCCCAATGCTTCCCACAATGCCGCTGTACTGTACTGTGTACCATCTATGCCCCATTACCCTGTCTCAACTGGACATTCCCATACCTCTGAAGAAGCTGGCGAACTATGATAACCCCAAACAAGATCGAACCGTACGTGCGAACAGGCCCAATCGCATCGGGAGTCACTGCATTCGACGCCACCAATATGTAAACCGCAGCCGCAGACTCGATAGCAGCAAGAATAGCAAATGCGACGCTCCACTTCGAGGCTGTCTTGGATATCGCAATAGTAGTATGATCCATGAGTGACCGGAGTCCAATGAGTATACATCCCGTCATCGCCGCCTGAGTCATCGATCTCGAGTACTCCGTCGGCCTATGGAATGATAGGTTCCAGAACCACAGCAAGACACCAAGGGCTACGGCGGTGAGATTCCCTGATAACACTGATACTGGTGAGCTATCCTGTGACTGCTCCTTCTCCCTCGCAGCCCTCTCGTTCTCCGCTGCCTCTCGCTCGTCAAACGAGAATGCTGCTCCAAATGCGTCCGCCAAACCCGTAGTATCCTCAAGAGAATCAGGAGGAAAGAACTTCGGCTGCGCAAACACAGCGTCCTGACGGCTGGATTCCCTAGGTGCCTGAGAACTCTGATTCGGCAGCATATTCGACGTCATCTTATTGAAGAAGTTCTGCTTCACCTCCTCAGAAGGAGCTGATAGTAGGGGCTGGTTTGGCGGGTTTCGAAGTTTTCGTGCTGGTGTGATTGGGGCTGGAGGGACTTTGAACCAGAAGGGTGACGATTCTGGGCCGGATGGCGCTTGATTGAAGTGTTGGCCGTCTCTTTGGGCGGATAACCCGCTGTTGAAGGCCCGGTGAACGGATTGGCTGGGCATCCATTCCATCTCATCTGGATCTGGAGCGTTGGTAGCCTCCATTGACGATGATTGTCTAGTATTAGATGTGTACTTGCCCACAGCTCCCCTATTAGTTGGTGAAAATGGTGATGGAGAACCCGTAATGCTCAGGGCTGAGGTTGATTTCGATGGAGTTTCCCGGTTGCGGTATGATATATTAGAAATAGACCCAGGGGAATCCCAAGGTTTCGACTGCGCAAAATTTGTCCTCGGTGTTCCTTGGGACGATACCGGCGAAGAAGCTACGACGGGCTCTTGAGAAATGCTATTTAGAGCTTCGTATAAACTATTGGGAGCATGAGTAGGTGATGCTGTTGTTTTCCGTTTGGCAATGAGAGCTTCACGGTCAGGCGTTGACGAGAATAGGGGTTTTGACCTGGCGGTGACCTTCTTGGTAGTTGTCATTGAAATCTAAAAAAGTCAGCACGTCTGAAGGTAAAGCGCCCGGTTATTGAACTTACCCAAGCTGTGAAGGCAAACATAAACGTATGCGCAGCCATATTTATCGACGATTTAGCATCGCCGAGAATCGATTTACCACCGATGTACCAAAGGAGTCCGCGGGCTAGTAACAGCACAACTTGGTGGGAATACCACGATTCCAGGCCATGAACTTTATGAAGACCATTCTTGATCGTATATCGAAACTCCGGATTCCACCACAGGGAGCCCAGGGAGAGCAGCAAGCTTGCCGCCGCCAAATCAGGAAGATGCGACCCAGCTGATAAAATGGGATCGACCAAGTGATACAGAAAAGGGCGAGAGGGGCCCATTCCATCGTCAAGGATAGAATCCCCTTCAAAGGAATCCACCACAGCAGGCTGAAAGCCCTCCAGGAGGGCCAGAACCTCACAGGCCAGCTGCAAGTAGATCCCTGATTTCCAAGCTACCTTCCCCCCGTATTGTATTCTTTCTAACCAAGTGCGCTTGGCCTTTCGTCCAGGGCCGCCATTCCTTCGTGTCCTCTCCAACTGTCTTCCATGCGCATCAACCTTGGCACTGTAGACAGCGCGCTTCATGCGATCCTGGACCTTGTCTACACAGTTTTCGCAGACCTGGGGATACCGCTCTTCTAGTTGCTGTTCGAAACGTTCGATATTTTGTGACAATCTATCGTAATCGGGATGGTCTGGATCTTCTGGGAGGTATTGCGCCAATGAGGAACGATAGAGATGTTGATTTTTGATGCATGTTTGGCAAAATACCGAGTCGTCAGCCGACGCTGTCGACCATGTTGGGGGTGGAATGGCCTTCGCAAATGACCTGCCCGGCGAGGCCCCTTCAAATGTAGCTACCGGAGGATCCGTAATTTCTCCATTCTGTAATGCGTTAGGAGTTATCAATGTAAGAAGTTGAATCGCGTTTTACCTCATCCAAGTAGTTTACCGCCTCGCAGTTGGCGCACTCCCACTGGCGAACGCTACCATCCTGCCTGCGCGTTGACTTTCGGTTACAATAAAAGCAAACGAGAGGTCGACCCAGCGAGGAAGCCATGCGTTCTATGCATCTAGTTTCGTTGTACGGACGGAAATTTGTAAATATGCGCCAACTGTGTGTTCCAACTTTTGTTGATTCTGCCGTATTCCGAGCCAGTCTGTTGATGAACCACCACCCGGGGGTGGCTGTAGGGGTGGTAGGCGGTGAAGAGCACTGCGTCAACTTAGCGTCAGGTCAAGGTGCTGGGCTGTAGCTATGCGGCTCCTACATACCATAGCTCCAGGAACACAACTTTCTCATATGCAGGATGGCGTCGAGCACTCCATCACCCACACAATTAATACACACGTACAGACACTTGTACAAGGCCCTGCTGCATGCAGTCAGATATTCGAAACCGAGCCGCTATGTTGTCCGGGACGAACTCCGTTGCGCCTTTCGAAAGTCCGATCCAAGCACATACGACGCAGGGAAAATCGCCCGAACACTCGAGTTTATTGAAGGCGCTGGGAGGGAAAAAGGCATAGAGCACCAAATATTGAAGAATATGTGTCAGACAGAACACATGAGAAAGTACATAGCCGGGATGTAAGTTGAAGCCGAGAATGGACCAGTCTTTTGAGGGCCAAGCTGACGGATTTATTATAGTGTTACGCATAGGTCGAAAGGACTGGCTGGGGCTGCTAAAGCGAAGTCTTTCGAACATTACAACAGCACAATTGCAATGCTGAATGATAGCATGGGCATGTGTTTACCGGTTCACTGAAATAATGGAGCATGACTAGGTTCATGGGATACAAGGCGCCAGAAAGAGAACAACACTGGGCCAACCAAGTCCAACCAAAGCAGAGAACACCATACCTGCTCGGACAACAAACTCAAAAGGGCAGGGGATGTCTCCGAAGCTTAGCCTGCTGTGTCAACGCTACGCAACATAGCTGGGGCCGGGACCCCACGACGGATCTAGAGCCAACAACTTGTCAGGCACTGGCCGGATAGACACGAAATTCTACCCGCATGGCTATACGACTATATTGGAGGAAGACTAGCAACTTGCCTATTTGCTGCCTTCAATTGGGGTGATCTGAGGAGGCGGCGTTGGCACCGCGATGCTCCTCCAAGCCGTCCAGTTGAGATGGATACATCCGGACGAGAACTGCAATACCATAGGCAATTGCATCCGAGAATAGTTCCACTGGGCGTCACAAACTAATACTATAATGTAAGATTATAATAAATGTAGATTATCATAATATCAAACGTCAAGCGTTGTATACATATTGCTTGGTTTCGACTCTTCAGTGACCCAATAAGTTATATTTCTATATAAATCTCCAATTATGTGAAGCCTATAATTATAGGCCCTCTGATTATAAATAATTTAACTATTGATCAAAATTTCCTCGTAGATTCGTTGTAGTTCACATATATAGTGAAAGTAGGCGTAAGAGACCTTCACCACCAAACCTTACATAGTACGGTCGGGTCCGGAAAAAGCTTGGCTCCAGCTCCCGAACCTCACAACTTTAACGACAACCACCGCCAACTCCACGCAACGCCGCACCACCACCCTCAATTGACAGCCAACACCCTTCGCCATGTCTTCGAAAGTTGCACAATCGGCTGTCAAAGCCACTCGCCGTGTCATTCCCGTGTCCGAGGTACGATCCTCCCCTCCCGCACCCCCCAACACCCTCTTCCTCCCCCATCTCCCACGACCTCCTCCTCACTCCACCACTAACTCCCCACGCAGAAATACACAGTCCAATCCACCGGCATCTACGAGCGCATCCGCCGCATCTTCGCAGTCGACCCCAGCCGCTCCAACGGCGTCCCCCTAAACCCTCAATTCCGCAACCCCACCCCCGGCGCCCTCGACCCACGCACCATCGACGACCGCGTCACTCTCCCCGCCGCCGACATCGCCGAGAACCCCTACTGGAAGCGTGACACGCGCCGCAACTACGCGCGCGCGAGTGTTGTTGGGCAGGGCGAGCTGGTGCAGCTGCTGAGTGTGGGGAATGCGAAGGATGGCGCGAAGGTCGAGTTGATTGGGGAGCAGGGCGAGAAGGCGTTGGTTGCTGCGAAGGGGGAGGGGGAGAAGGGACTTGCGGCGTTCTTTAGGGAGGGGGATGTTAGTGGTGTGCTTGGAGAGGGAGGGTTGCCGCCGAACCCGAGTCGTGGGGGGCCGGATGATGCGCCGGTTCGCTATGAGATGCCGGAGGATCAGGCGTATCCCGCACAGTAAGTTTCTTGCCGTTGATGTGGGAAGTGGCGTGTGCTAATGATGTGTGATAGGTACCCTTGCAGGACATTTGCTTAAAGAGTGATGGAAAGAAAGAGCTGGGGGGAGAGTAGATTGTATATATGATAGCCTTTGCCGACTGAGAGT